TATATGCCGATTTGTATCTTCTTGGTGAGTTATTTATTCAGTTTTTTCTTCTTTTTTTTTCAGTTTTTAGTGAATACTTATTTCTTCAGTTGTACTCGGTCATCGATCATTTCTTACTTTAAACCGTCTTATCCCAAATTGGCAACTATATGGGGTTGGCTACATGAAACCTATTTTGCTGTTCTGTTCTGCTTTTTGTCGCATACATTATTAAATTATGAGAGTTTAAATGATTTCTTACTACTTCAATCCATGTTGTTTTTTATTTGCCCTGGCCCTTTTAGCTCATTCAGCTTGTAACAGATTGCTTTTCCTATCGCTACATTTGGTTGCCATGCAAACACAAATTAGGCACAGATGCAAAATAAATCGGTTCTTGTGAATGCAAAATAGCTGGTTTAGGTGGCAAATTGTATTGCTGTTGTTGTTTGGTTGGAAGGATGCAAAACAACAAGTGGACTGCCTACCTCTAGAAGACAGGGGGTTTTGGTTTCATTCAAAAATGACAGTGGTGTTGAAGGAGAAGAAGAAGAAGAGAAAGAAAAAGAGAGAAATGGGGAGATTGTTGACGAAGAGAAGAGAAGGGTTCCCCAAATTGTGAGAGAGCAACTCCTGCAACATAGAGGATTAAATCCTTCTTGGTTGCTGTTGCTCTCATCGTAAATGATGATGATGCCCTTTTTCAAGTAGCCTTATCGTTCATCTTGTTCAATGCCTTCAAGAAAAAAAATTCAAAAGTATTTGTTCCCATATATATATATAGCCCCCACTATTCAGATATGTGGCTTTTCAAGTTTAGACAAATGGCATTTTCTGAGAAATTGCTATTAAAACTCACAGTCCACTATCAGGCTATAGCCCCCCACCATTCAAACACATGACCTCATTTTTCTAGAAAGGTAGACATATGGTGTTTTCTGAGAAGTTGCTGCTAAATCCCACAGCCCACTACTATCATTTTCAATTCATTCATAAAAAATGCAGAAAATGCAAAAGTGGTTATCCACAACCACTCTTGTCTACGTTCTATCAATCTCAATTAATCATTAACTCTCTACTTATCATAACAAAATAAAACTATCAATATTCTAATAATTATTGAAAAATTATTTTTTGAAATAAATATTTCTTAAAATTTTAATAATTATTTAAAATATTAATAAATATAAATTTAACATTATTGATTCCATAATGTAAATTTAACATTACTGATTTCTCGTGCTTAGTACAACGCCATTCACTAGTTCTCAAATAAAAGCATCATTCCTCAAACATATGTCTAATTACTCAAATGATAGTTACCTCCACTCTAAAAAATGTTAGTGGTAATTAACTCCACTAAAAAAAAAAAGAAGAAAACAAAAGCTCATTTTCAAATAATGTAAGATCTATAAAGTGAGGTATTATTTAGAAATAAAACAGAATTTAATTTCTTAAATTAAACAACAATTCTATAAATAAAAAATCAAGTAAAATAATAGTTTAAATTTACAACATAAAAATTTATAACATAAATAAAAAATATCAGAATATTGGTCCCATACTTAGCATGGGAGTCATTCTCTAGTGTTTATCGAAATAAACATTTCCTTCGACAATCAAAGTAATGGAATTTCACAATCTAACCAAATGAGTGCAAACCTAAACCTGAGTGCATTAAAGCACCATTCCAGCGTTCACATTGCAACCAAACACAGCCTGTGGGTTGGGTTTCTATGTACAGAAGGTTCAAAGTACCGACACGCGCCCTTCTGTACCGGCAGGGGTGTATCCGTACTAAAATTCAAGCATTCAATGTGTTTTTTTCAAAGTTTGATTTTTAGAGATATTTTTTAAGTATTTTTATTAAAATAAATAGAGGTCACAGAATACTTGTAAATAAGTGTATCAAGACCAAAAGATACGATATGATATACCCCTTATTATACATATTGTATTGATACTTTGAACCATTGTTCATAGGTTTAAAATTTAAATGTATAAGCTGAAATTTTCATTTTCGTTTTAACATACTTATTCTATTCCTTTATATTGTTTTAAATCCACCTCCTTATATTATTTGAAGTGTATAAACTTATGAATTGTATCATGGTTATTTGGCAGCTTTTATTTCCTGTGTTGTTGCTGCATTCTACAGGACTGCTGCGGACCATGGTTCGGAGGACCGCCTGGTCCTCCTGGACCCCCGGGGCGGACCACCAGGCCCTCCCGGTTCATGGGCCGGGTCAGGTTGGTTTCGGGCTGGGCTTTCACTTTGTATTAACAGATTTTTTTAAGGCTCGAGTCCGAGTCCGGTCCAACCATCGGACCTACAACTTGGGCCCGAGCCCGAAATTTAGCCCATACTATTACTACTACTGAAGCGGCTAAATAGAGAGAGAGAGAGAGAAATTATAAAGAAAAGAATAAAAAATGTATATATTAAATTATAAATATATATTTTAATAAATATTGTATTATTTATGTATTTTAATAAAATACATATTATATATTTTATAAAATATATAATGCTGAGTCGGGCTGGGCTTTTTTGACAAATCCCGAGCCCGGCCCGAAACACAGTCGGGCTTATTGTGTTAGGCCCGAGGTCAGGTCCGCGGGCCTAATTACATGACCAAGCCCGACCGGGGTGCAAGCCAGGCCGTCGGGCTACCCGGCCCATAAACAGGTCTAATATATATATATATTATCATTTTGTTTATTATTTAATGATGTAATATGTTTTGGAGTCATTGAACTTTGAATTGTTATAAAATTTAAAGAGAAGTAGTTGAATTGATATTTCAAAAGGTCGGATTTTCAGCCAGTAAATTAGGTTTCTTATCCTATGAGAAGCGAACAGATGTTGGAAATGGAGGGAGGTCATGATCCTTGATGATGCAAAGTGTCTCTTAGTAGTAATGCTCAACTTTTTATTTTAAATTCTGGAAAATCGCCCTCCCCGGCCCACTTCATGTTTGTTTGATTGCCTGATAGAACCTTGTTTTGTGTCCTCTAGTCCTTGGCAAGTCAACATTATTATGCAATGAAGACAAATGCACTGGGCCCAATGGCATATGAGGTTTCAGGCAATTGATTTAGGTTCAAGTCATACGACGACTCACGGCTCGCTAACCTAACCCTGCCCAGATCCCAATTTTCTTATGTTTTAGGTAGGATGGCCACGAGTCGAATTTTTCACAAACTATTCAAACTCGATTCAATTTAGTTTCAATCGAGTTTTGAACCGAGTTCGAGCCCAATTTATAAATTCATTTATTAATCAAAATTGACCAGTAACTTTAGTTTTCAACAAGGTGGATCAGGCTGAAAAATTTAACACAGAGCCACGTGATTTAGTTCCCCTGCCCAAGAGAACATATACCAGATACTTACCATTTTGTTCTTGTTCGGGTTAGACCTAAAAATGAGTCAATCTTTAAGAGATCACTGCAAGAGCAAGAGTCAGCAAAAGCGGAGGGATGAACATAAACCAAACTTTTCATGAGTTATTCAAGCTCAATTTGTGAAAATCTTGATTTAATTCAATTTAAACCGAATTTCGAATCGAATGAAGTCTGTCTAATAAAATTTACAAGCCAAATTCAAATTCATATTGTTAGCTCGATCGAATAGAGCTCAAGTCCCAAGTCTATAGAGCTTGAATAACCAGATATTCGAATACTGATTAAAAGGCAGCACCGATCCACTCCTGCAACAGCTCCTTGTATTTCGAAAGTCATCGAGAGCCGTGTTTGTTAAAAAACAGTTGGAGCCTGGAGGTGCCCCCTGCACCCAGCAGAAAGAAAGGAGACTTAAACAAGTTAAAATTGCAGGCATCTTACTTCTATTACGTCCACCATTTTACTCTATCCAGAAACATGCGGTCGATGCTCAAGCACTGTATGTGTGGGATCCACGAGTCGATCCATCCTAGCATACAGAAGGTCTCCCTTTGGCTAAATTGCCATCTCAAAGGACAACATACTAATGTTCCATCATTCGTCTCTGATATTTTAACATCTCTCTCTGTTTGGTTTATAGTCGGAATTGGAATCAGAATTAGAATGGTTTATTCTCATGTAGTGTTTTTAAATCGTGGTTGATCTGAATTATTGGATCATTTGGTCCAAAAACCATTCAGACAACCAGTTCCCTTTCACCCCAAGTCCGGTCCTTGGCCAAAAAATGTTAACTTAGTCAATGACCTGTTGACCTGGGCTATTGAATCGTCATCTTGTTCGCCTGGTGAACAGTATTGATTATTTTTTATTTTTTTGGGTATAATCTGTTTGGCTCAGAAAAGAATCAGAATGGAAATTGGAATCAGTTGGAATGAGATTTTGTTCTCTGAAAGGAATAAGAAATGATCATTCTTTCAAAATGGGAGAATACTCTGGTGGAATGAGATTGATTCCGCCCAACTAAGCAGATAGAATCAGAATGACTCATTCCGAATACGATTCCAATTTCAAACCCTATTCCCGTGAACCAAACAAACCCTAAAGTGAGTCAGAATGAACATCCTAATTCCAATTCCAACCTCTATTTCCACAAACTAAACGGGTCTAGAATAGAAACAGATGATGCAGAACTCAGAAGTCAGCGTGTAGTAGGCAGGCAGGATTAGGAGTTAGGAGTTAGGAGCGGGATTAGAATCGTGACCACCACGGATGAATCCCATCACGTCTCATCGCAATTTATTTATGCCGAAACCCGAAAGCAATGCCAACTTGTTACCCTCCATTGGCTTCTGAATCGATCTGATCTCAACTCTGATGTGGGTTTGGTAGGGAACTTTTGGTTTTGGTTTTGGTTCCTCCCTCTACTCACAATAGATTGAGTGATTAACTTCTCGACTTCATCTCATCATCCAATGAATGATCAACGCCTGAGTTCACAATCCCTTCGTATCATTTGGCTTCGGACACGAACAAAAAGAAAGCAGTGGTGCCCCACCTAAAAGTAGTCTTTAAATAAGAGAGCAGCCTGGCAGGGGCATTTAGTCAAAAACAAGGAACGCATTCCGTTCGTCTCGTGTTTGTTTCCGTTCTCGTGTAAAACTCTCTTTAATTTATTCCGTCACGGAAGCCAAACAAATGGATAATTCCAGACGATGATCCTTACAAATTACGACTTACAACAAGCCCAAGAAACACCTCTGGTTTTTCACATTCCTGTGCTGTATTCTTACACAATTTGTTATTTGCCACTAGGCCGCAAGATACGAACAATGATTTTGACTACTCGTCTTCTGGGTTCTGGAAGCCAGCCATATGTGTATGTATCCTTTTGATTTGGCTATAAAAGTTGAAAGTTGGAGGCTTGGTTCCCCAATCTCCGATCTGCGTGCAAGCCAATTAAGCCTTCTTTTCTAGCTCTTTTACACAGAAACAAACAAACAAACAGAGCGTGGGCGAGCAAGAGAGATGCATCCCGGACCACCTCCACCACCTGGTCCTCCTCCTCCTCCATGTGGATGTTTTGGTTTTCTCTGTGGTGGGTTATGCGGACTCTTGTATTCATGGTGAGTTATTATTTCGTCTCTACTTAATTACCATTTGTCAGATATTGAAGAGCCCGTTTGGGAGGGTTTCTGTATTGTTTGAGCTGCTTCGGACAAGTTATGTGACATAATTTTACCGGGAAGTGGATTTTGCGGCTTATGTAAATGTAATTCCAGTTTTTCGGATTTTTAACAAAAACGGTTTTTTGGATTTTGGGTTTTTTCGGTTCATGTTTTGGATTTTGGATTTTGGGTTTTACCGAAAAAATTGGATGATATTTTTCAATGTAAATGTAAATCGATGAAAAGCTTCATCATTAGTTTGCATTTATATGTGATAATTCTACATCCAGTCTGTATTTTCACATCTTTGTTTTCAAATATAAGGTTTACATCAAAAACCTTTCCATCGGTTGACTTTTTCCATTGAAAATCAATGTAAATATACATTGATAAAAAAATCGATGTATTATTTATGTCAATTATCACATAAAAAAAGTTCTAACGGCCCATTAAAATTTTAAATTCACCGTTTGAGTTTTACATCAATGAATTTTCTACCACACCCTTTAGATTTTTCAGTTCTTGGAATGCCAAAAGTCATTATGGGCCTATTTGTTTGTTTTTTTTTTCTGAGAGGGGAAAAGTTGGCCAATGAGATTGATCAAGATATACATGTTCTTTTTTCATATCTATATGGGGTTCATTGAACAATTTACTCGATAAATAAAAGAAAATGAATAAATGCACTTACTTAGGTAAGTATTTCCCGAGAAACACTTGTCTCAGGATAAATAACATCCTAAAAAGTGAACAGGCCTATGTGAAAGCCCTCCGAAAGGGGCACCAAAGAAATGTCAAAATGTTTACCTAATTCTTCAACTGGCTACACCAATCTGCTCATATGGGGGTGTTTGGTATAGTTGTATTTTGGGTTGATTAATACAAATTCGTGGGAAATATGTATTACCACATCATATATGATCGGTGGTTTCAATTAGAAAAATATATGTGTGTAGAAAACATCAAATTGGACATTCCAGTAGAAATAACAATTTGTATTGGTCAACTCAAAATGTATTTTAAAATATTTCAAATAAAAAAAAAAATCTCTCATAAATTTGTTTTGATCAAATCCAAAAAAACAATAGCAAGGCAACACCACTATGCCAAACACCTCCATAATTGTTCCATTTGCAGTATATTAAAAACAAACCGAAGTTTTTTTTTTTTTTTATTCTATTGCTTCCTCTCCATTTTCGCACTGGCCAGTTTTCTTGTTATTTTCTTACTGATTGCAATTTAGGATTAAAGCTTAATCCTTGCCAATTTGTGCTATGGTACTTGATAGTGTGGACTTCCTGTGCTGCTGCTGTGGACATGGCCCACCTGGTCCACATGGCCCACCTGGCCCACCTGGACCACCCTAGCCACAGATCATCATCACCTTTGGCTCGGCCACTCCTTCGTTCCCAGGTACCATGTGTATAAAGCATTGTAATCACAGAATAAAATGAAAACTAGTGGTGTTTCTAGTTTCACCCAGTAGGTGACGAAGTGTTGTATGTATCTTTCTTTTGTTTCTTATTTTGTTTGGGAGGTTGCAAAATTATTCTTTTTCCTGTCAACTAAGTAAAATGTATTATACTACTAATCTATTATTGTGTGTGCAAGTGGATGACAGCTTTTAGCTTTAAGATACATTTTTCTAAAAAATTTCGGATTGATACCCTGTAATTTGGTCCTAGTGCCACTTTGGTCTTTGAATTTTAAAATGTGATAATTCAATACCCGAACTTTCAAAACATATCAATTCAGTGTCTATCGTTAATCACCCGTTAACCAGCCATTAAGTGGCATTTGAAAAAGACACGAATGTCCTTCGGGTGTCATTTAATTTTCTTTATCAACCATCCAAACGTTGACAAAAAATTAACAATCCAAAATCCTTACTTCTTCTATTCAAGAAAGTTGGGTCAGGTCTCAGTGGACATTCTAGACCCCAACTTTCTTGAATAAAAGATGCAAGGATATAGGACTGTTAATTTTTTGTCAATGTTTGGATGGTTGATGATGAAAATTAGATCACACTTGAGGGGCATTTGTGTCATTTTAAAAGGTATTTAACGGTCAGTTAACAGTAAGTACTGGATTGATATGTTTTGAAAGTTCGGGTATTGCATTGTCGTATTTTAAAGTTTGGGGACCAAAATGGCACTAGGTCAAAAGTACAGGTACTAATCGGGAATTTTCCCATTTTCATTAAGATTTTGATCAATGTGAGATCGTTCATCATTGGTATTTTGCTTTATGTGCAAACTTCTCTGTAGTTGCAATAATACCAAGGTTTTAAAAACCGGTTCCCAAGTCGAACGGTTCGACCATCCAGTTTGAATGGATGGCCCGTTCTGATTAAAAATAATTAAAATAAAAAATAGCCAAACACTGTTGTCCATGTTGATGGGTTAGCGGTTTGACCACCCAGGTCAGCAAGTTGCTAACCAAGTCAGTGGTTTTTGCCCCCGGAGCGGTTTTAGGGTGAAATAGAACTGGTTACCTGATTGGTTCTCAGGTCAACTGCTCTTATCTTTTACTGATAGAAATGCCTATTTTAAGACATTTTAAGAAAATATTTTTTAATAATTAAATAACACAAAAATGCCCTTCCTCTCAAATTAAAAAAAAAAATCAAATCACAGGGTTGAATGTACCGATATGCCCTTTTGATGTACCGGGATGTATCGATATTTTGAACCTTGCATTAACCCTATATCTAAATCAGATCAGGACAGCTCAATTCCACATCCCCTCTAAGTCCCAATTGTATTAACCATTGCCTAAACACTGAGGCGTTCACTCGTAATAGGTAGCCCAGCCCGATGTGTACAATCTTGTCTCCAGTTCATCCGGACGCCTCCACTTCACCCTCAAGCGCATGGGTTGGGCTTAGAAATATTTTTGACGTTCATTTGTTGAGCAGAATGGGCCTAGGCCTGGCTTGTGGACCCCATGAGTCGTAGTTTTGAGCGCTATATAATTCACAAATGAACTTCTAATGCAGGAGTGAGAATCAAATAAGTACTTTTAACCAATGGAGTATCGTTTCAATATAGAGGAGAACTGCATTCAAATAAGTACTTTTAACAGGGCAAAAGCTCATTTCTGTTACCCCATAGGCAGTGTTTGGCTTGGAGGATTGGAAATGGATTTGAATTTCGAACCCATAGGTTGTTCTCATTGGTTATAAACCGTAGTGTTACTACTCAACCTAAGAGAGAATTTTTGTCTTTGAATGTCATCTTTAAATCTAAATCCACCCTAATCCGAAAATGGCCTTAGTTTCTCCATTCATGAGTTGAATGTTTTTGCCATTCATTATTCCATTAGACGGGGATTCTTTGGATTGGTCTTGTAATATTGTAACTGTCCATGTCAGCCCCATAATGACCATTTTTTTAAGATCCCTAACAATGGGGTGTCAATTGGACTGGATTTGGTCCGATCCGATCCAGTCCAATGTGAGTCCATTATAAATGGACCAGATCCGATCCAATCCAATCCAATGAATGATTTGGAATAATTTGGACCAGTCCAATTCAATGTCTGAACCATCCAATCTGTTTGGAATTATTTTGATTTAGATTGGTTTCAACCCAAACCCGGTCCATTGACACATATATTCTTATCTTATGTCAATGGACCAGATATTGGCTTGATCCAATCCAATCCAATCCAATATAAATTTGTTACGGATGGACTAGGTCCAATCCAATCTAATAAATATTTTGGACTGGATGGGGTCCAATCCAAAACCGGTCCATTGACACTCTTACCTAACCTTACTTAAGGTGGATGGGTGGCCACGTTAAATTTTATTAACCATTATGAAAAAAGAGGTAAATCAATACAAGGGAGTAGGGGAGCAATCGAGTCAAACTTTGACATGTCTTGACTTGGCTTAACTAAAATACTACAAATAGGTTTGAGTTTGAATCAAATTAAGCTCACGGGCTTTTAAAATCAAACTTTTTGTTGTTCAAACTCAAATTCAAATAACTAATTGAGCTTACCCTGAGATTCAAGCTCGATTTGTACTTGAGAAAGGGGATATAAATTATTGAGCACCAGGAGAGAAAAATCGTGAAAGGATGGCGTCAGCCTCCAACAGAGAAAGTCTCCCACAACTCCTCTATTTGGCTATTTGCAAGAAAGTCTGCACATCTATTTCCTTTCGTTGAAGTGTGAGAAACAGCCGGTGTCATCCAGCATGAACAATTTCAATTTCAATGATTTCTGAGATGAGATGAATAATTGAATAAGTAATCCATTGCAAGTTAAAAGGGTCAAGAAATAAGAAAAGCCAGAAAGGACATGGATTGAAATAATGAAAAAAAAAAAAAAGATTTAACAATGGACATGGCATTAAATAAACTAAAGTGATGGAACATTGGTTTTAAAGATCAGAATGGTTCAAAATCACCAAAAGCCCATTTTTAAAATATAATTTCTGGAATCAATTTGAAACTTTCTCAATTCTTAAAAATGAATTATCTTCCAATTTTAAATAAGTATCCATGCTATGTTTGGTTAGAAAGAAAAAGAAGGAAAAGCTAGGGAAATCTAAAATAGAGCTTAAAAAGGCAAATAAAAAAGCACTAAAATGCATCAGGCTCTATTTTGATCCCAAACCAAGCAGAAAATGACAATAAAAACCTGCTTTTTCTCAAACACATGGGAGTTATGAATGAAAATGGCACTAAAAGTCTTGTTTTGAAGCCCTAATATGCTATAATTGTTTGCATTGCATTTGTCATATACTTTCCATTCAGGCCTCGTTCTTTTTTACTTATTTGGGTAACTATATTTATCTGGGTAAGTGTTTTTCCAGTAAAAATTGCCCAAATAAGTAAGGTTCTATCATTCTTGTATGTTACAAGTTACCCATAAAAAGAGAGCGGTGGGAGGGAGAGAGCACTATTGGCGTGGGTAAGTTATTTATCCACCTTGCAGGAGGGTATTGATTATACCATAGAACCCAATATAGAGGCAAAGAAATATGAGGTTTCTGGTTAACTCATGGTTTTGAAATCCGGACCAAATGGTCAGACCAATTGACCTGAAAACTTGTGAGGCAGTTGGTTAAGTTTCACCCCAAAGTCGTTCATAGGCCAAAAATTATTGATTTGGTCAGTGACCCACTGACCCAGGTGGTCGAACTATTGACCCATCGACCTGGACAACATTTTTTTGTCATTCTTTATTTTAATTATTATTTTTTTTTTAAATCAGAACAAATCATCCATTCGAGCCAAACAGTCAGACCATTCAACTCAAGAACTGGTCCCCAAAACAATTCCATATCCAATCTAGTCTTTAAACACTTGGGTCAATTTACCGATTAACCAACTTACCCAATGTTAAAATACAGGCAAACGAACAGAGGGCTTCAATCTCTCACAAAGTATTCTATTACATTATATATGTAGTCTCATATGCATGGATATTTCACAAACGTGTACATAAAAATATTCTACCACACTTGTTTGGAGGCATCTTGAGTCACCTTCCTGGTGGTCAGTTTATTCCCATTTTGTATATGGGTTCGAATGCATGGGTCGATTTGGATTCGTTGGCAGAATCTACCAATTTTCTCACCCTACTTTTGTTGCAGCAGTTGGGTCTGTGTGTTTTGTTATATCTGTTTTTTTATTTTTCCTGTTGTCTGTAATGGCTTGAATTGTATTGCAAGCATTATGAATGAAAATACTTTTTCACTTCAAAAAATAAGTAAGGCTGTATTTGGTTGAAGTGCAAATTTATTTGTATTAGTACAAATGTATAAGAGTGCAAATGTAAAAAATGCAAATTCTTATTTAATTTTGTTTTGGATTTTATTTTATTCTACTTCATGTCTTAATTTCATTCATTTGTAGTACAATCAAATAAAACAAGCTAAAATTTGAAACAAAATGAGGTTAGAATTTACACTCAAATAATTTGCACTGCCATGGTTTTGCATCATTGTAAATTTATTTGCATTACAATCAAACACAACCTAAATAAAAATACACTACAAATGCAATAAATCTCCATTCTTTAAGCTCAGTTTGGAAGGAGTACAAATTCAAATATATAGAATGCAAAACCTTGCATTTTGTATTGTTTTGTATGTATTTATACTATACATATTTGTTATTTGTATTTGTACTCTTTCTAAACTGAACCTTAAGTAAATAAAAACAAAAACATCGAATGCAGTATGTTCATGGTCCATTTTCCCTTTTTCCCTAGTTAAAAATGATATCTATTTTTTTTAGGTATTATGCCTTTTTTGGCATGGTTTTTAAAACTGATCCAGTGACGGAACTGGTCAAGAGTCTGGTTACCGGGTCAAATGGTCTGATTGTTCGAACTGAACGTTTGGCCCATTCTGATAGAAAAATTTAAAAAAAAATTAAAAAAATAAAAAATGGTCAAAACCGTTCAAACAATTAACCACCCGGTTCAACGGTTCACTAACCAAAATTAACGGTTTTGAAGAAAAACAGAACCGATCAGGTAATTGGTTCCCAGTTGTTCCGGTCCAACCATGCAATCCGATCCGGTTTTGAAAACCATACTTTTTTGTATTATAGTTGGACTCATGAGATAGGAATTTAATGATATGATAATTGCTGATGCAAGCTTATGAGAGGAT